TTGAGGTTTTCATTATAGCACTATATGGGCGGGAATGACAGCAGTGATAAATGCTCCTGTTCACTGTTCTACTAACGAAACAACCAAGACTTCACATAATTTATGTGTGCCTTCATGCCTCTGTATCAGCCTTTCTCAACCCTTTAGACCCCGTCCACACTGAACGGTTTTGTCGTGCGATTTCCGCTCAGAAATCGCGCAATATTTCCGAGTAATATCGCTCTATGTAGCTTGTCCAGTGCATTTCAATAGAGTTGTTCACATCTCACAGCTCAATGTCACCTGTAGCTCGTCGCTCAAGCTTGTCGCTTGTACATGACCCTTTTTTCGGCGGATGTTGCGCAATTCGACTCCAATAGACTCAATGGTGTTGCGCAAAGTCGCGCATTCCCGGCCATATTGCACGACCTTGTAATGCTACAAAAGGGTCACTTTTGCACTGCAAAATGGAAGGAAAGAATGATGCCACATCAAGACCGCTGTTGATTGGTTACAGCCCAATGTAGCAGCGACGAAGTCGCTCCCAAAAGTCGTGTTACGTAGCGCGATAAAATGTGCACTGTCGCTCAATATAGCGCATTGTAGCTCAATGCCGCTCAGCACCGAATTGCGCTGAAAAACACATGATTCACCATGTCGCTTAGTGTGAATGAGGTCCTAGCCCCAGAGGAACCCGTGATATATTTCTCAGCTATCAAGAAAATTATATTCACAGTTCTCAGTACATTAATGTGATCAGTAGATGGTAGATACAGGTATAAATAAAAGAATGTGGCATATCTAGAGTATTTGAAACCTAAAAGGGATAATTTTGCAACACCTTCCTGCCCAACAGGAGAAAACTATGTTCAATAATATTCTTGTAATGAATAGAAAAATAATGGCCAGAAAAGAACATGGACTGTGAAAGTTGTAGTTTCTCCTTACACTAGTGGAAAACTTTCCTTGTACATTGGTGGTCAGTGTATAAGTGACCACTTACTTTTGACGTCAGTGGAAAATTACCACCTTACATCAATAGTCAGTGGAGGTGGGAGGCCAATTAACCATGCTCTATGAACACGGAACAATTTAAATACAGCCTCAAAGTTTTTATACACCTCATCATCCTCCTCAGTTGCAACTTTGTCATGTGTGGGGCAGCTTGTGCTGCAATCACATGTGCCTTTTTGCAAAAGAAACAGTATAATTAGGGGTGGGGAGGAAGACTGTGTAAAAACCTGGCTCATACTCACAGTTTTCACTAATATCTTGCTAGAGCTGCAAAAACATTCTGTCCAATTAAATGTGTTAGCTGTATGGCTCAGATGAATCAAGCTATTACCTTATTGTTGCATGTTTAAGAACCACAGTGCTTTCATGGTGCCATTACCCAGACATTGCTGCTAAAAGCGATACAGTAGAAAGTATTTGTGTTGTCAGTGCATTGAGGCATACTCACAGAAGTGCTCTAGAGCTGTGTGAAGGTTATCAGAATCAAGTAAGTATATGTACAAAATATTTTGCATTGGGCATAGCCACAAAGTAAATGGTTGCAGGAGATGTACCTAAATAACATATAATTCAAGAAAGCCTGCTCTTGGAAACTTTGTGTTTTTCAGGCTGGATCATTTCAAATCATCAGCTTCATAGGCGTCTGATCCACATTTCACAAAGTCCTTAAGGGGTTATCGAAACCACTCCTGTAATGTCTTTTGAGTTCAACTATATATCTATGAGCTATTTATGTTCACAGTGTGCTATGTGTTGGAGCCACCATCTTTCTCCAGACATCAACTTTGATCCTCTTCTACATTTTAGGTTTGATGGTTGGTCTGTGGACTTCCTGGTACTGACCTTTGGCATTGTATATGCTAGGCTTGTTGGAAGGCTTGTTGAAATGCTTGCTTGAACTCAGACTCAAACTTATCTTCTGTTTGATCTCCTGGCATCATCCTCCTCATTCTGGTTTGACCGAGGCATGTCATACCACCCACTAGTTTCTTCACTGACTCTCTTTTGGTTTATGTCCACTGTGTCCAGACTTCATAATCTGGTACCACGAGGCATCCAAGCGCTGGAACATTCTTATGAAGTGTACCAGAAAGGAATTTGCTATACACTATAATGTACCTTACAACAGTTAGAACAAATAAAAAAAGGATGTACAGGTAGAAATTGCTGCTATAATGGTTTGTAGATACTTTTAAAGAAACTATAGTTAATTTTTAAAATAAAAACATTATAATAATTACAAGAGCTTGTAAAACATTCACTAAATGAATGCCTCCAACGTAGCTGCAGTAGTTTTTCTGTTAAATTATGTAGTAGCTACATGACTTTCGATCACAATTCTGAATGTTTAACCAAGTGAAACAACATAAATTGAATGCTTGCTGAACCTATTTTTTAAGGGTATATATTAACAACACTAGGGTATGCAGTGCTAAATTTAATTATGATCATTGAGGTTTAAGGCAAGTTACACTATTAGCTAAAGGTGGTAGTTATTTGAGATCACTCCTACCTGGAGACTACTTTATATACAAATATGAAACCTTTAGCAAAATGCACAAAATGGTTACCAAGTTACTATGTAAAAGGATGAGAGTGTCGATATAACAAGTTTAGTTGAAATGTATTATAGGTCAAAGGATATAGCCAACATGTTTCAGGTGCTCACAGCTTAACCTTTTTGGGGGCTGAAGAATAAAATAATATAAAGCAATATACTGTACATAAGAAATTGCCAGCATAAGAAACTGTCAGCACACAAGGTACAGAATCTATATCTATATTATATTACTTATTATTGTTCCTAGTTTTTGGGCATCATATATAGCAACCAAGGCAGACTAACTGCCAATATACATTATTTTTCAGTCTTGTCATTTCTTGCAATATTCTTGCTCATTAGAATATATACATATGTTTAAATATAATGTATTGGGGTTCTCTGAGATTACCCCCTGATACTCAAAGAATTTAGTAGTGACCTCTTTACTTGTCTCGGTTTATTGTTTTTTGAGTGATTTGATTTTGATATTTATTACTGTATATTATACACAGTGCTTCCGTGGTTATTGCTTTTATCATTTCAGTGCATTTATTACTATATTCCTATTAGTGAAAGGTAATGTTATCGTTTCCTTGTCTTATCTTTAATGATATATGATACAGATCTTGCATACAAGGGTCTTTTTTATTTAAACACATGCATTGTACATATTTATTATATCAATACACTATACATTTTTAATAGGGTGTGTGCCAGGAGTTATAAGCCCTAAAATGAGTTGGCTATTTCCTCTGACCTATTATAAATTTCTACTGGACTTGATGCATACTGGTGGCATTCTTAGCCTTTTACATACTATTTTGACTGTTCTGGGGACCCCTAAGGATACCTTTGCTGGCAGGGAGCTGCTTGTAAGAACTGTGTAGTAGGCCTATTTTTCAATGATCACTGGGTCTAGCACTCCACTAACACACCTTCAAAATGGTTCCCCAAAAATTCCTCTTGTGTAAATGTGAGTTTACTAACAAAAGAATATTGTTTAACAGTTCATTGTCATTGCTAACATGTCTACAAGCTGAACATTAGTTGAGTCTTTTGTTGTATGAGGTGTTCGGTGGGAAAGATAAGGTTTCCTGCAGCATTTTATCTAGTCCAAGTCTGAACTGGTAATTGGAGAGCTTCTTGACTGTCTTTTGGAAAGACATTGTCGGTTTAGTTATTTGAGCTAAGATGTTTTTCAATTGTCTTCAACTTCTCAGTGGTATAAACTGACCATAGAATGAATGTAGCATGCGCTGACCTTAGGAGAGGAGATGGCTGCCTATATGCAGCTACTAAAATAGAGTCAATGGGGCTGCTGAAATAGAGTCAGTGTGACTGAAATGGAGGGGAAGGAGCTTACCTCAAAGTTTTAAAGATTGTGCTTGTATATCCAACCACTTTATTTCTTTATTGTCCTATCTTGTCTTTCAGTAGTAGACCATATAGGTATTTCAAGTCACAGTTTCTTCTTTAAAAGTAGAGCAATTGGATTTAATGTGTGGAGAACTTGAGGATACAGGCTTTAGGGTCAGTGTTGAGAGTTAAAGATCAATTTTCAAGGTTAGGTTAAAAGATAAGCTTAGAGTGAAGGTAGGAGATCTGTTAGGGTAAGACTAAGGGGTTGATTTAATAACCTTATAAACACACCACGAACATGTATACACCTCTGTAGTGTGTTCCCTCCCAGCATGATCTATGGGTGGAATCTAAACACCTTTGTAGTGTGTACACACCCAGCAGGTGTGTTGTGCAAAGCCCTGCCCTGAATTGCAAGGTGATGTTGTGTAAATTAGCTCTACATTGTGTTGCTTGCGTTGATGAATGCAGGAATGTAAATGCATGAGCTAACCATTTTTGTCTAAACTGTGAAGCAGCATTATATATGCATCATGTGCATGATTTTTCCATATATGGCATTAGTGGAAATATGCTTATAGAGACTTTTTGGTTGATAAATACGCTTTGCTGTGTAAAAATCACACGCACCTGGTGCGTGCGTGTGTTTAGGTTAGTAAATCACCCCCTAAATGTTAGATTTTAAGGTTAGTCTAAAGGGTAGTGTTAAATGTCAAGGTCAATTTTGAGGGAAAGGCTACATTTTATGGCTTGATGAGGAAAGGATAAGTGTTAGGGTCAGCTAAAAAAGTATAAAAAGTATTTTAGTAATCTTAGGTAGACTATGTTATAATGATTGTGGCATTATATATTATATATTGGTAATTTATTTTCCCACTGAGCTTTTCTACCCCATAAAACCATTAATACGATTAACCCAAAAAAATAATGTTGGAAAAGCCTTTCTGCATTAAATACTAATATGGCCTATGATCATTCTTAGTATATACATATTTGGACAATGCCTGCTTTTCCTATGTTAACATTCTCCATTTGTATTTGACAACTTTAACATAAACTTTGTTTTTTTCTTCCAGTAGAAAAGTCAGACAAACCGCTTGTGATGTGTAATGACTGCAATCACTGTAACTGCTGCATTTAAAGTTGCTATAATCCTCCTCGAGGTCCAAAGCACATGTTCAGGTAACATAAACAACTATAATGAAAATAGTGATGTCCAGGTTCATTTGATTATAAACATGGTTATCATGTTGTAGTTTCAATGTATGCCTTTGCATGCCTTTCTTTCACTGATCTGTTAAATAGAAGTTATCATAACACAGTTTGCCAACCGAATGCCACAGGAATGGCAACTAAAACGTTTTTCAGTTTCTGACCTATGACCTGCATTTATGCGAATCCTTAAAAGTAAACATTTTGAAAGGCGAATTTATCGATTTATTGTCCCTTTTATCTTTTGCTAAAGATTTAATTTAGGATAAATGAATTCCTAAAGGGGACACTTCACAAGGGAATGCTACCCTCAAAGGACATTTCCACCTTTGTGGGGGCATTTAAAAAAAAAAAAAGCATATGCCAGCAATGTACACGGTGTGTAGATGATGCAGGCATATGCAGATCCTGGATAAAAACACAAAAACGTACTTTTTTTTAGTTGTCCTCTCAGGCTACACATATTTTATTTAAATGGCTGCCAGGCTGCTGTGTACAGTGTAGGGAGTAGAAAAACTCCTTTTTCCACGATGCTTTTCTTCTCTCGTGCATGATTAATATTCATAGTGGTTCCTCCCGTGAGTGACCGGGAGCTGTGACTACAGTTGGAGAATTGTTGTGATTGCTAATTAAATCCGTTATATTTTATCTCCAGTAATCGCTCAGAACAAAATATAACAGATTTCTTCCTCCAACTGTAGTCACAGGTAAACTATATTAGAAATGGAAAGAAAAGGATCTGTACCTCCTTTCACTAAAAATCACATCAGTATGCAGCTCTGCATGCTGATATGGCATCATGTTACATTCATTAGTTGAACAAACATATTTTAAATTTTGCTTGCAATTACTGTTTTTCCATTTCCTGGTTCTTTTGGACATTAGTGATATAATCTGTGCCAATGCCATTCATCCTGGGAAGATTAAATCAACAGTGCATCATTGGGAAATCTCACGTGATCTCAAGTGAAGGTATTGTCCTCCCCTGAGATGATGTGCATGGTCAATGTCCTAGTCACATGTGCCAGAGTTCCAGGGAGAAGGATTAATCTGCCCTCCGTAAAAATGGCCACTAAGGGAAGAATGAGAGGAAAAGAAAAATAAGGTATTCAAAGAATAAAAAGCCAGCAATTATCTACAAAGATCTGTTGGTAGATTGCCATTACTAAACATTTCTAAAGGTTTATGAGTTGTCATTTTAATGATATGTGTAAAGTTCCTCTGTGAATATTTACATATAGTACATAAAACAGTCTGGATACAATAATTTAGAATATGCTGCATTTTTAAAAGATGTATTTCCCATTATTATTATTTTCTATAAAAACTTAACACAGAATGTATATAAAAAGGAAAAGGTCAGAAAGGTACAATAGGAGATGGAGGGGCATGCATGGCAGCATGAAGGGAAGCCATCTGAATATCACAAGATTATAAGAATGGAGCAAAGTTTTTATTGCATAACTGCATTTTTTTTTTGTTCATATCCACCATAAGTTTATTGGCCCCATCTGGGTCAAATGTAAAACCTGGTCATTTGAATCACTTATCTTTAATTCTTCTTCCTTTCACAGGTATATTTAAAGTTTTGGGTCCCAGTACCCCAGTCGTTGTCTCTTTGGGTGAGACGGCAGCTCTACCATGTTATCTCTCTCCATCCACAAATGCAGAAGACATGATGGTGAGATGGTTCCGTTCTAAGTTCAGCTTTACTGTCCACCTCTATCAGAACAGGAAGAACATTGACCAACAAATCCCAGAGTACCAAAACCGGACATCCTTTAACACAAGTTTAATTGCTGATGGTAAAGTGTCCTTGTCAATTCACAGTATCACCCCTTCTGATGAAGGTTCATACACCTGTCTGTTTCAGTCCCTTTCTTATTACGATGCAGCTGACTTGGAGTTAAAAGTTTCAGGTATGTAAAATTATTATTAATGTAATATTTAGTCCATATTAATGCATTTGACCTTCAAGTGTACTTACCATCCGTGTACAGCACTAGAGGGAACCATGCTGGGCAAAAAAGAAAATTTGTAATGTGAATGAAGCATAAGTGCTTCCTAAATCATCATTACTATTTTACACTGTTTTATAGGTTTTTTTTAAGTTGTATCCCTTTAACTAGTGGCTTTCTAAAAACCTCCCTGTTTTTAATGACCTTCTAATTTAGCTTTTAGTTGGAAACACTTTAGCTTTTTGTTACCACCAAAGCGTGTATACATAATGCTCATTTGCACTTAGAGCACGTAGTGAAAATTCACTTTTAAAAAAATACCCAATCACATGCAAGGGGAAACATGCAAGGGGAAACATTTTTGCTTGCACATGATTGGATGATGGAAGTCAACAGATCTTCATCTCATTCACTGAGAAAAGGGAAAATTATCTTGCAAAGTAAACAATCTGCTTGCCTTTAGTAAATTAACCCCATAGTGTCCTTAATACATAAATCAGTCCAACTGAAGAATAACACGAGATTCAATGAACACCTCAAAAACTTTAACCAGTCTGACTAAAAACTGGCTTAGCAGCAAGATATGTTTGCATTGCTCTCTAAGACACTAAAATGTTTTACCATCACAAGGATTTTGTGGTCTATGTAAGAAAAAGCATAATTCGTCCTATTATTAGAGGCAAATCTGATTACTGGCAGCCACAGTCTATTATCCCACTTACCCTATCAGATAGGACTTTCTCATGCAAGACCAATCATATTTGAGATAACGACTCACCACATCTGTGATGTATGTAAAATCACGTGATGTTATCATTTATTTTCATTTACCAAGATGGGAAAGATCAACTGGGATTGTAATCAGAGGCTTATCCACCGCAAGGCAAACTAGGCATTTGCCTTGGGCAGCACTTTCCAGGGGGGCTGCCCCAAAACTAGTGAGGCGGAGCCTGCTTTACCTGAGACCCTGCACAGCCTCCTGAGAGCCAGCACAGCCCATCTGAGACCCTGCACAGCCCACCTGAGACCCCTCACAGCCCACTTAAGAGTCCACACAACCCACCTGAGCCTGCTCAGCCCACCTGGGACCCTGCACAGCCCACGTGAGACCCTGAAAAGCCCACCTGAGACCCTGCAAAGCCCTCCTGAGACCCCGCACAGCCCTCCTGAGACCCCACACAGCCCACCTGAGACCCCGCACAGCTCTCCTGAGAACCCACACAGCCCACCTGAGACCCTGTGCAGCCTCTTGAGACCCCGCACAAACTGCTTGAGACCCCGCACAGCCCACCTGAGAGCCCGTTCAGCACATCTGAGACCCTCCAAAGCCCACCTGAGACCCAGGAGACATCAGGCTTTTTTAAAACCTCCTCCCAATACAAACAAAATTATAATTAATACAGGTAGGTGTGACCATATTTCACTAGAGTGGGAGGGTTTTAAAGGGGCATAACCTACCTTAAAGACCATAAAATGGTCAGTGAATACTTAGCATCCAGCAACTGTTGCAATAAATAAATAGTTTGGTCACACGTATTGGTGGTCAGTGGCTGGCTGTAAACCTCCACCACCACCTCAGTATTGGTAGCCAGTGGCATGCTAGAACAATAACCCCACCTCCCACCAGTAGTCAGTGACTTGCTGGAACAATAACTCCCCACCAGCATTTGTCGTCAGTGGCTGGCTAGAAGGTATTCCTTATATTCCCTGGTGGTGTAGTGGGGCACTCACAATAAAAAATCCACTTACCTGTTCTGCAGTCCTGTGCAGCTCTCATTTCACATAGTGGCAGCGCACGCCAGAGAAGTAACAGTGCCTGAAATCACTGTGTGGAGCTGGTATTCCTCTTTCTTCGATACCGAGACTTCTCCTCTGGGTATCAAAGTGAAACTGCAGCAGCTCTGAAGATTAAAGTGTGAGGTGCCCAGTAGGATGCTTCACATCACAGAGCTACCTGCATCTGCATCCACCTGCCAGCATCTGATTGAACACTAGACAGAGGGTTCTTTCAGTGCCAGGTGCTGGAGCACAGAGAGTGTTCCAGTAATCAGAACACATCTGCTACTAGCACCAGGGCCCCCTGTAAACAACAGTGCAGACTGCATCCCCCCCGCGCAGATATGCCACTTCCCCAATGTGTGCAGTGTGTGCACAGTGAGCCCCATCCCCTGCACACATAAGGGATATGCTTGTTACATAGTTACATAGTATTTGAGGTTGAATAAAGACATTAGTCCATCAAGTCCAACCTATTAGGATCTCAAGAGCTTGTGACTCTACATCTATAAACTTGATCTGATGACACTTGACCAGTGATGAAGCAGAACTTGCAATCTACAACACCATTCGCCATATTGCCAACAATTATCTAACCCACCATGTTTAGTCTTCAATTAAAACAGACAGCTGGCTAGTGGATAAGGACTGGTCAAAGGATATAGATATGCACCTGTGAGCGCTTCTAAAGTTGTACATGTAGAGAAAATCCAAATATTCCATTACATACAGATTAACCTTACTAGAGTAAAATGACAGCAAGAGTAAAACTGGTTGCTATTAACATGTTTTAATATTTCATACAGTAGTTTACACTCCAGCAGCTGTTTACTCTATGTAGACCAGAACATTGTTCATGTGTAAGCTATCAGCCTATTGATTTGGCAATAACTTTGCCACTGTTTATGACACTTAAGTAACTAACATGCATATTGGTTTTGTTTTGTTTGGAGAGGGGGGGTAAGGTTTTCTTTTGGTGGTATTGTCTCCCAAGAACTATTTCATTTTCTATATAGTTTAAAGTAAAAAAGTAAAATGTAGAAAAAAGTGGGGGGTTTTTTCAAAATTGACCAGTGAGATTTAAACTGCTAATGTTACTGTGGATACAAATACACTAAAGTATTGTTTCTAGTACAAAGCCCATTGAGTTTTTTTACAAGTGAAATGTATGCAATGATTATATTTTTTTAAACATGATTTTAAAAATTAAAGATTGAAATAATGAAACCTAAAATTAATTGTTTATGAATATTTTTTTTTTAAATGTAGAACAAAAGAAGAAAATAGTAAAAAATGCTTACCCATGTAACTAATTACAAATTAACAATATAGTTACATTGCATTTATTAATGATCAATGTAGCATTTTACATCGAGTGGTGGGGTTCTAGGTATGCCTTTGAGTTCTGAAAATGTTTCTCTCACTTAAACAAATGACTGCACAAATCTGCAATAGCTACCAATGCCTTTCCTCTGTTCAAATACAGGCCAGTTCTAATCTGGCAAAGCTCTGATACTTCTGGGTAGTGTGGAAGCTTGCCTGCTCCCTCCAACCACCATACATTCCTATTGACACATAATTAGGATGGGCTTCCTCATTAACCTATAGGGATGCATGGGTGGAAAGGGGCGGGCAAGCTTTGGCACTACCTAGAAATGCCAAAGCTCTGCCAGATCAGAACCTGTTATACCTGTTAACAGATTTGGTCCACAAGGAGTGAAATAAATGGGCTTTCTTTCCCCTTTACCTTTCTCTATCACTTCCCTCCTACCACAATTGCAATCTATCCATAAATCCATCAATGATAACATTTTATTTCCATCCTTTTTGTATAGCTCTTGGGTCTGAACCAACAATCTTCATTGAAGACCATCAAGATGGACATCTTAGGGCAGTATGTAGGTCTTATGGGTGGTACCCAAAGCCTGTTATCTACTGGAAAGATGACAATGAACACATAATACATCCACTGACTGCAGCACAATCCCAGAATGTGCTGAGCTTGTTTGATGTTGAGATGATTTTGCCACTAGACTCTAAATCCAACAGGAGACTTTCCTGTATTATCAAACATGCATTCCTAGAGCAAGAACTGAAATCTACCATACATTTAGCAGGTGAGAGATAGATTATGCACATGTTTTGATATGGCTATATCTACAGCCATATAGAGATGTACTACACTTTAATAATGTTTTGTCTTCTAGATTCCTTGTTCCTGAGAGTGTCTCGCTGTGTAATCTCCAGAATATTAATGGGGACAAGTTTCATACTTGTCATCTTAGCAACCCTTGCACTGGCTTTTTACACATGTTTTGTGCAGCAGAAAAATATTTGTAAGTTCTTTATCTTAAAAACCTTACATCAGGTTTATGTGATCTTAAATCAGGGGCTACTATTTGAGAAACAAAAATGCAAATAATACTTGAATATAATTAACATTTACCTGAACTCTATTGAATATCCCTTAATGCAGTAAAATTGAACTTTCTTACCACTGCATGGTTAAAAGAGTTAATAATATTATATCAAGTGCTGTTAGGTAATTGTGCTATTTTCATGTTATACAGTGTGTCTGCTATTTATTCTGGGTCTTATGTATGAGGACCTGTTGATAATACTGTGTAGAAAACTAGACCCAAGACTTATAACATCACTTACACACACACATTCTACAAACCATGCTATATATCACATTAGTACAATTAAATACTTAAAGTGTCTATTCAGGCACTATGCACATTTACTCACAAACCTCTCCCTCTAGAGCTTGCCGTACCAAAAGCTTTTTCATGAACCTTATTCCTGTAACAAGACACAACTTTTATTACACCCTGTGACAAGCTAGGCACAGTAGTCACAACAGCAGGATGAAAAAGAGGACTTTCTGCTATCTCAGACCCAGAAGCATCCTCTGCATACTGCCTGCATACCTGTGATGCAAAGCAGCAGGAGGCAGAGGAGGACTATGTGGAGTATGAGGGTTGCTGGAAGTGAGGAGGAGAAAATAGACCAGGCTTTCAGGGGGATATTTCACTCCTTCTAAACGCCAGGAGTTGTACCTGGGTAGGGTGAGATCAATGAGGACATTGCTGTCCTCAGTGGAAATAAGGACTCTAGGTCCTCTGCTCAAGGCAGTTTGTGGTTAATGGGATCTTTGGGAAGCTGAAATGCCTTTGCAAGGATCCCAGGACTTGGACCAAGAAGGAGAAGGCCCATTACTGGGTGGCCACCCTTTTGTAGAACCGATGTATAGGCAAAATGTCAGATCTCATACTACAATCCCTGACAGAGCAAAACATGTACCACTTAAGAGACATGCTGTTGAAGAACCTCTTAGCAGCATTTCCTGATAGTGGCAGGTTTAATTCACATGCTTAATGTTCTTCTGATACTCAAATCCCTGAAAGGAGAAGCCGCAGTGACAGTGGCTGGCTCAGCAACATTTCCAACCACAGTGGACAGGTCTGGGGGCTGGCAACAGTCACATTCAGCGCCTCAACCATATTGATTGCAAAGTACTTGGGGTCCAGGGCCGATGCAGACACCTTGAAGTGAGGACCCCCAGGGCAATTGGATGTTCAGGTTGGACCACTGGACAAGAACTTGTACAGTACGTGCTGGAGATTCTAGCTTGTCCTGTGGCCAGTGTGCTCTCTGAGAGTGCCTTCAGGACAGTAGGCAGTTTGTTACAGGGATACTAATTCACCTGTTTACTGAAACTGTGTAGTGGCTTACTTTGATGAAAATGGGCCTTTTCCTGATCAGTAAAGATTACAAACCATAACCATGCAGCTGATGTTACCAACTAGATTTTATAGTTATATGTTGTTTATATCTTATCTGCCCCCCACCCCAAAAAATGGCACCTTCCACCATTACCAGTTTCTGCCACCCCTGCAGGTCTGCCACCTTAACTAGCTCCTGCCATTATTCCTCGTCTGTCACTGCTAACATTACCAGCTCCTGCCACCACTCCTGTCCTGCTTTTGCCACCATTACCAGCTCCTGCCACATCTGCTGTATTGCCACCATTACCAGTTCCTGAGACTTCTCATGTTCTGTCACCTCTACCAGCTGCGGCCACTTCAGCTGGAGTGCCACATTGTCTCTCCCTCCTATATTGCAGGATAATCAAGCTGTTTACATAGTTCTCAGTGACTGTACAATGTGTGTGGGTATTGTATCTGAAATAATAAATAATGTTTAATTAAGGACAAAAACCTCCCTTGTATCTCCTTTTTACATGGCAGACCAAAGAAGCTACCTACATACTCCCCGGCTTCTGCACAATGTGTATGTCTGTAGTCTCTAAAATAATACACCATAATTTTTAATTAAGGATAAAACCTGCCGTGTCTGCCCCTGTTATATATTTTTTTGTTTGTTTAATATATTTTTATTATTATTATTGCACTTAAATATAATACAGTTTAAATAGTGCATTTAAAAAAAAAAGAAAAACAAGAACATGTCATACATTTATCTCTCGTATTATATTAAGCCCTACAAAATCTGTTATATTAAGCCCTACAAAATCTGCATACATATGCTTCAGCCACTGTACAATATTTGTGGCTAGTGTCTCGCAAATAATACCATAAAATGTTTATTTGAAGATAGAATAGGACTCGTCTCTCCCTTTCATATTGTGACCTAGCCAAGCTGTTTACTTACTGTCCAACCACTGAACAATATTTGTGGCTATTATCTCTCAGCAAATTCCTTTCTAAACTTTAAAATATATTTGTATTTGTCCCAATGGCAGGACCTAGCTCCCCATACCCTTTTGACCTTCCCTTATTCATAAGCCCTGCAAATTACCAGAATTGATTTTCAAGATTCCCCTCCCCCAGTTGGCCCCATGGACCAGACCCAGACACATTCCCTCGTTCCTAGCCACTGACACAAGCCCAAGTCCATCGACACAGGCCCTATGGAAGACTGCTTCATAAGGCCCAGCCTCTTCAGCAAATTGGAGTGCCACTGACAATATTAGTGCACTGGATTTTCATCAACCCAGCAATCAACTCTATTCTCTACATCTCTGATGCTGGGGAGTGTGCCAGCAGTGTACGCTGCACTGGACATGCGCCACAGACCATATCCACGAAAAATAAAAAATTGCTAGGAGAAAGTCATGCAAAGTCTCTTTTAGCAAAAACTTCAAAACATTTTTGTGGTATGAGGGGTTTAATTCTGCTTTAACATGTGCAAAGTACAACATAAAAAGTACTCATATCAGATAATATCCATCTTCTAAAGCTAAACACCCTGCTTTTTTTTTACTCAACATGCTTATGCAGGAATATGGCCACATATGAAAGGTCTAAACTACTCTATGGATAGGTTACAATCCTTCATCTTGTTATATTGTGCTGCTGCTTTCAGTTTCATGCTGGATTACATCGCTTGATTTGCTGCTACAACACTTACATCAGCAAAAGTTACCAACTATTATGTATTACATGGGCCTACCTGAACAATCCACTTCATTTTTATCAGTCATGGGAAATTTCAGGTATTGGTATAATTAGTTGGGGGAAAAAACTATTTTTTTAAAATTTAGGATGGCATAGGAAATGGTTAAAACTACATTCCATTTGACAATCAGTTAAAATCCAACATGTTTTGAGGATTCAAAATGTCTCACTTCATCAGGGTCTGTTAGGATATAAAGCATTTACTCCAGAAGCTGGTTTAGACAGCGAAAACCAGCTTCTAGTGCAGATGCTTTATTTTCTATCTTACAGGCCCTGATGAAGGGGGACCTTTGAACACCCCAACATATTGGCTTTTGACTAAATATTACTTTTTAAAAAAAACTACTGCTGGACTTTTCAAAATGCTTCTTCTACTTTCCCACCTGCACACTAGTAATCTGGGATATGTGCAGACCCAGGGCTGTTACTCTTTGGAGAGCTGCCTAAAACTGAATTATTTTTCTATACCAGACCTGAATCCTAACTGGAGTGACTACCAAAATAAATTATCCAGCTCCCCACACTTCTCTTGTAACCTTTGGCAATAAAAGGCTATCAGGGGTCCTATCCTCTACCTACTATATCACTTTGTCCCGTATTAGATTTGTTAAACCTGTTAAGTAACACATTGATAATAATTGCTGATAACAATAATAATGATGATGATAAAAATAATAATAATGTTTTTGTTTATTTCTTTTTATAGTGAAACTTGTGAAAGAAAAGAGTAAGTAACATATCAACTATGTTAATATGCTTTCATAATGCTTATTACAGAGCTAAGATGAAGATACCCTTTAACTCCTTTAGCAACACTTATGGAATTGCCAATTCAAAGAAAACTTTGTTTTAAATGTTTTGTCAGCGTTATGTTTTTTTCAGAGTTGTCTTATAATACAGTATACTGCTCTGTTTACTCCACATTTCCACAAGACTAAAAAATCCAAGATCTTCTGGCATCCAAGACTTCTTAATAGTCGTTACACAATATACTTAGTATTATGGAGTGAGGCATCAGACATAGTTTTTGTTATAAAATCAACCTCAATTTATTCCATAAAAATATAACATAATATTAAAAACAATGTTCACAAATATATTCTCCCTCAGTTTTGCCTCCTGTTGCCACATTAGCATTAAACTGTTGATATCTTATACATATAAATACTTATTTTCTTATTGTGCGGTTCATTCTTCCGAATATAACTTGAATATATAGTTTTCCCACTGTGGCATGCATTGCTTTGCTTCATACGCGTTTCGCAGGTCTATTGTAAACATATTATCAGTTTCTTGTATAATTATTTCAGTTACATTAACAATCATTTACATTTTCCCTGTATAAATACATGCATCATAAAGACTACTAAGACAAGATTTTCCCGCCACCACAAAACAATAAGGGAAGTATTAGACAAACATTGGCACCTATTGACCAATGACTGTAAAGTAAAGAAGTTTGTTAAAAGCAGAGCTGGTTTTAAGGTTAGCGAAATCTTTGTGTGACAGTGTAACACACAGCTTCTATCAAACAAAAGAGATGAATAATGGATGTGGGGAGGAAAGCTTCCACAAATGTGGGGAATGTAATTACTGCCCCTGGCTTGTGGTGGGAAAGACGATCCCATTGCCCAATGGAAAAGAATGGATACTTAAACATACAGTAAACTGCTAGACTAAAAATGTGATATATTCATGTATTGCAGATGTGGAGTCTATTAGGAAAAACAATAAGACTAGCTTGGAAGAGAATATATGACCACATATATTTTTCTACCAATGGCAAGCTTACTAAACCAATTAGCATGTTGATGCTACATATGTAAGGTTCTTTATTCTAGACCACATACATGAACATGAGAGAGGAGGGGACATAGACAAAACATTGTTTCAAGTGGAGACACATTGGAGCTACAAGCTAAGTTCCCACGTCCCCCCAGGTTTAAATGAGACATTGAACTTCAAGCCGTTCCTGAGATAGATGTTATATATATATATATA